TTTATCTCTCTCTCTCTCTTCTGATCCCTTCTCTCTTGTCCCCCTCTCCGGCCGCTGCCACTCCCGCGTCTTATACACTATCTCCAGATGACGGTAAAAACTTTTGTGATTTTTTAAAATCAGTAAGGTTTCCTGATGGATTTGCTTCAAATTTAAAGAAAAACGCGATCGAATGGAAGAATAAAATTACTGGGCTAAAATCACATGACTGTCACATCATAATGCAGCGATTATTGCCAATAGGGATAGGACCGTTCATGAAGAAAGAGATCGTTGATGCAATAACAGAATTAAGTAATTTTTTCGAGTTAATATGCTCAAGGACATTGCGAAAAAGTGATTTAGAGAAAGCTCAACAAGATATTGTGCTTATTTTATGCAAGTTAGAAACAATTTTTCCTCCTGCATATTTTGACATAATGGTACATTTAGTTATACACTTGCCTGACGAAGCCATTCGAGGAGGACCAGTTCACTTAAGATGGATGTATCCGTTTGAACGTTTTCTTGGATCATTAAAGAAATATGTCAAGAATCGTGCACGTCCTGAGGGTTCGATTGCTGAGGCATACATTGTGAATGAAGCTCTGACTTTTTGTTCATTGTATTTAACTGAAGTTGAAACACGGTTTAACCGATTGGCCAGAAATTGGGTAGACGATGAAGATCGTACTGTTAAAAAGATTTCTGTATTCGAAACTCGCTGTCGGTCAATTGGGAAGTTGACCCCTATCACTTTGGATACTCATTTGCGAGAGAAAACTGAGTGGTATGTACTACAGAACTGTCCAGAAATTCAGCAGTTCATTGAGTAAGTACTACTTTCAGTTTTGCTACTTAATTGTTCATTGATTGTGTCGCATACAATCGTGTCCGTTACTTTCATTCTCTGTTAAATAGTGACCATAGGAGGGAGATTAATGACGGCGATCGAACCATACCATTGGATGAAATTCAATCGAAAGAGTTTCCAAGATGGTTTAAGAATAATGTATATTTAAAATTAATTTGCATTAACATTATTAAGTCATTAAAAAATTTCGTTTTAAACAAAATTCATGTCTCGTTACAGATGTTCAATATTCGACAACAGAATGGGCCATAAGCGAATGATCAAATACTTTTGCTTTCAAGTGGTTCAAGCTTCTCATGTTGAAGTTATCATGGTTGTGTGGTGAACGGTGTCAAGTTTCTGATACGTAATCAGAATATGAATTGAAGTATTCAAAATAGTAGTGTTTGTGTTCGCGGACCTGATAACCTAACGTATTATAGAGTTTTGGAGGATATTTATGAACTATCCTACTTGAACGACGATTCTGTTGTGCTTTTTAAATGTCTGTGGTTTGACACTCGTCCGGGGAAGAAAATGATTCAATACTACAAAAATAGAATAAGTGTTTTTGTTAAAGACACGTGGTACGAAAATGAACCTTTTATACTTGCATCTCAAGCAGAGCAAGTTTTGCACGTAAACGATTTATTTAACGATCCAAACTGGAAGGTTGTAGAACACTTTAGACATCGACATATTTGAGACATTCCAGAAACTGACATTGATGACGTGATGATAGTCCAGGATACGAAGTCTACACATATTGAGTTAGTAGTAGAACTACCAGAGATTGACTCATTTGTATTGAATCGACATGATGTATCGTCTGATGTTGTCACCTCCGATGTTGATGCAATTAGTTGATGAGTTTATTAATGACGAGGACGATGAAACTTTAGAGGAGTACGTTGAGGAGGAAGTCATCGAATCTAAAGACGATGATGACATAAATGATGGTGGCGACAATCAACAATGTAGCAGCGATGATGAGTAGAATTTAAAAATAGTAATCTTTGTCATTTTTCTCAGATTGCGTTTTAATATTATGATCTTCTGTAAATTTATAAATATTATTATTAATATGAATTTGTTAACAGGCATTGATGGCTGGTTTGGTAGCGACTTGCGTTGGCTCTTCAGGGGGAGCACAGCCTCCTCCCGGTCCTCACAGAGTCCCCGCATTCTGTGAATCTGGTATGTTATTATGACTTTTTTCCCGTTCTATCATATAGTAAATAAATGTATTAGTACATGCTGATTTGAAATGCTTACATATGCTTACAACACCTGAACCTCGACAACGTAGAGGTCGAGGTGGGGTGAAAGGTTATGAAATCGCCCAAAAGGTCCTTTAAGACGGAAAAATCACAGTAGAATTTGATGAGGCGGGAGGTACTTGAAAGGCGCTTGGTAAATATGGTGCCTAGTTTGATAGTGCAGTTGGTATTCATACCAGGAACATATGCAAGCCCTTCCACGATGCTTGGAAGGATATTAGCGACATGGACAAGAGGACAATTCAGAACCAGATGCTGGTATTTTTTTATGCAATAATTTGTATAGTTTATACTAAAGTTAACAATGCGTTTTAACGATGTGAAACTGTTTTGCAAGGACTGGTTTAACATGGACTACAACTATAAGAACGGTATTCTGAGGTCCGTTGTTGATAGGGAGGCAGTAAAGTGCTACAAGGACTGGAAAAGTTTCCTGCTCCGGCACTTCAAACGCTATGGTAGAGAAAGTCTCCCGAGTAACATGAGGAATCAACTTCATTGGGATCGTTGTTGCGATAGGTTCTCCGGCGATAAATTTCAAGTAATTATAGATTTGTTAGAACTTGATGATTTTTTATACATAATTTCAAGTAACTATTACTTATTATACTTAATCATAAACAGAAAATATAAGAGACAAATAAAACTAATCGTAGCAACCAAAAGTATCCAAGCTTACATGGTCGGGTATCGTACTCTCAGCATAGCAATAAGAAGGTTATTACTTATTTTTTGACTTCATTATCGTATTTATATGTTTGTGATGATTGTTTTGGGTGGCACATCTTGCAGCTATGGTGTGCTGAAATCTTTTAAAATTATTTTTGTACAGGTTTTGATTTTTGGATCATATGAAAAATAAGTCGTTATGCTGCCGAAATTTAGTTAGAATTTAAGAATTTTAACAAATGTAATTTATTTGACAGGTTAGTACGGAGACCTAAGAGCTGATGTCTGCCATAGACAATTGGGCGGACATGCATCGTCGCGGGGCCTCTTGGGTTAATCCCCAAGCGGAACAGACTTTTGTAAGTATTTTTACTTTTCATATTAAATTTTTTTATACTGAAATAGTGGTTTTATAATACGTAACAACAATTATAATGTCTTATTATGTAGAATACCCTAGAGGAGGAGAGACAAACGCAGAGAACACAGTCTACTTCAAGCTCGACTAAACCCGCCTTTGACGAGCATGGGGTTTTGGAGCAAGTTCTTGGCATGTGTAGAGGACATAAGATAGGAGTGGGTTCGATGCTCTCCCAAAAGCATTACTCCGGGGCTTCTCCTTCATCTGCGGGTTCATACTCGGACGCAACATCATCGGCTCAACCTGACCCACGTGTGAGTCATTATTTAAAGAAATCGTACCGGGAACAAGTTAAGATTTATGAGAATCAGGTGAAGGTGTTAGAATTGGTGGCTAAATTGCAGCCCAACATCCAATTACCTACGATTGATCGTCCAGAACCAGTTAACCTAGACGCTCTTTTGCCTCCTTAGATGATGATAGTCCTGATGATGATTCAGCTGTTGACGATGCTACAAACTTAGACGATTAGTTCCGTTATATGTACTATTTTATTTTTCACTTTATTTAGACTTTTATATTTTTTTGAACATTATATATGCACTTCATGTAGTATTCATAATATATTTTATAAATTTACTTAGATTTACTGTTTTTAATATTAATTTATATTTCACTTTTAATGTATCTTAATAAATTATATTTAGTATGTAACATAATAATGTTTAATTAAAATTATTAAAAATTAATTAATTGCCATTTTTTAAAAATTATAAAAAAAATTAATTTCGGTTTTTTGCGACGACTTTTTTAGACTTGTAGTCGCAAAAAAATAACATTATTTGCGACGACAATTTGAAATGTCGTCGCAAAAAATGATCATATCACGCGAATTTGTAACGGCGTATTAGCGACGCCTGTTATCGCAAAAACAGACTGTCGTCGCAAATACAGTTGCGACAACACTTTGTCGTCGCAAAAAAATATTTTGCGACGAATTATTTGCGACGACACGTTGTTGCAAAAACCATTAGTTGCGACGACATGCAGATTTTTACGACGACAAAAAGTCACCGCAAAAACCCAGTGATAAAAGATCTAGAAATACTGGAGTTTGTTAATTAGGGAATATTTTTCCACAAATGTCGATATCAATCATGCACACAATGTGGACCGTTGCCTTGTAAATTAGTCTCCACAATCCCAAATGTACAACACTATATGCGTGTGCTGCATAACGTTATTTAATTAATTATTTTCAAGAATAAATCTTAACCTGTCTTACATATCGACCTGAATTTATTTACCAATTTTAATATTATTAGCTATTCAATAGTCATCTTAATCCAAATATATACATTAAATAATTAAAGACTTATAAGCCCCGGTTCATTTATTATTGCATGGAAAAGTGTTAAGAGTTCTAGATAAATTACTCTTACTAATTTGAATATAAATTATGTGTTCTTTGGAACTATGTAAGTAAATGAATTTTTATTTATTTATTATGACACGACGAGAGTCGTTCAATGCAAGTAAAAACACTTGCCACCTGAGAAATTACAATTAATCCTACTTGTGATGAGTGGTGAATAATTAGCAAAAATAACCAATACCCTTTAATTTCTTTTAATTACCATGACAAACTTTAATAATTAATTAAGCTCTTGATAATCAAAAGTTAAGTCTTGAATCTTCACAAGCTTACCATATGCTGAGTTAAATGCTTTAAGTTGGGAGTAAGTAATCGATGCATGACACTCTTTTGGAAAAGTCAAAAATCTTGAATTTTCGTCTTAAATTACTTCCTTTATAAAGACCCATGACTAAAAGCTTCCACACAAACGCACAAACATTACACACGCATAAGCAAGTTTCACGATCTTCTTTGTCTCCACACTTTGTCAGAGACTTTTTTTTGTTGTTGGTATTAATCCATTAGAAGAGAAATTAGAGAGAAACAACTGATCCAGCAATTATGAAGATAGAAGAACGTACTTTGGAGGAAACCCCAACGTGGGCAGTTGCTGTTGTTTGCTTTGTTTTGGTTGTCATATCCATCTTCATTGAACATATCATTCACCTCATAGGATCCGTAAGCGAAAAAACTATAATCACTTTGTGTTTCTAATTGGTTACTTCAAATCTTTTTGTTAAAGTGTTTTCTCTAATAAAGTTTTGATTTTTTTTTTCCTCAAATTTTTCTGAACGGACTGATAATGTTGATGATATGTAGTATGTGAAAATGTTTTTATCTTTTTTGGGTTTTCAGTGGCTACAGAAAAAACACAAACGAGCTCTTTATGAAGCGCTTGAGATGATAAAAGCAGGTATAACTAATGCTTCCAAGTCCATATATCTTCTTGACTTCTTCTGTTTCATTTTTTGAGACGTTAAACTTGAATTAGTTACCGCATTATATTTGTTAATTTAAAGGTTCTAACTTGGTTTTTTGTTTTCTTTTGAAGAGCTTATGCTTTTAGGGTTCATATCTTTGCTCCTAACAGTGGGACAAGATTCCATTTCAAGGATATGCATTTCCAAGAGTGTAGCAGAAACTTGGCACCCTTGTGAGAAGAATAAGAATAGCGACAAGGGAAATTCCGGGAAAAATGGCCGGAGACTTCTCGACTTCTTAGAGTCCGATCAATTCAGCGATCATCGGAGGAGTTTAGCCACAAAAGGATACGACAAATGCGCTGAAAAGGCAAGAAAAACTTAACCTTTTTGCTAATTTCGCTTTAAAATGAAAACCTTTAGATTAGAGAAAAGAAAAATATGTGTGAAAATTTTTTTTTGAATCTTTATAATTTTGCTGATGAAGTAATTGGGATTTAATGTGTTGTTTGTAGGGTCAAGTTGCCTTTGTGTCAGCTTATGGGATTCACCAGCTTCATATATTCATCTTTGTATTGGCTGTTTTTCATGTCCTTTATTGCATTATAACCTTGGCTTTTGGAAGGATCAAGGTAATTCAGTTTACCCTTTTTTTTAAGTGAACCTTAATATCGAAAGTAGAACAGTACTGGATTTACTGTTAAGTTGTGCCTGTAACTACAACTTTATATCTCGTAGATGCTAATAATTTTTTACTTGCTTGGATTGCAGATGAGAAAATGGAAGGTTTGGGAGGATGAGACAAAGAGAATTGAGTACTTGTACAACAATGGCAAGTATTTCTCCAGTTTTCATATTTTAAATGGGACAATAAGTCAATCCTTCGTCTTTCATATTCATCTTTTTTTCTCTGAATGAAGCACCAAAGTCTGAATGATCTGAATAAATAAATATTTTCCCTTCCTAGTTTGGCAAAATGTTAGAGTGACTTTTTTTTTTTGGTTTTTTATTTGATATGGAGTTTGACTTGACCTACCCATTGCAACCATGGTTGACTTACTATTTTGTGATGAAATTATAATTTAGAGAATTCCACCATTAGTTCTTTTTTCCCTTCTATAAACAAAGAACAAAAAATGGAAGAATTACGAAACGAGGCCTAAACATACCCTTAAAGATTTTTGGACTAAAGATTTATAGACACTAATTTTTTCTTCCCCTGCCTAAAATGTTAGCTTAGCTGAAGATCATAGATGCAGATGAAGATGGAACTTAATTATTGGATTATTCTCAATCCTTTTGTTTATTTGGGTTGCAGATCCAGAGAGGTTCAGATTTACAAGGGACACATCATTTGGAAGAAGGCATTTGAACTTTTGGAGCCAGTCATCAGTTTCCCTTTGGATTGTACGTACTAAGTAGTATACTCTATATGTCATATTAAAAAAAAAAAAAGAAAAAGAAAGAAAGAAGAAGAAATTACCCTTTTACAAGTCAGCGTGGAAATTTTTTGATACAACATTGGTATGAAAAGTTGGACTTGCTGACTCTTTTTCATTGGTCAAACTTCCACATTTCACAGCCTTCTTTTTACCGAAAAAAAAAAAAAAAAAAACTGTATCATATCAATCAGATAAGATTGAATTAATTGCATAACACCCTGTCACAGTTCCGTAACAAAAGGTTGAAGCTGCTACCTGGTAGGGCTTGGTTGTCAGACGTAATTATCTCTCTATTTATTGCATTGGAGAATTATTTTTCTTCTTTAGAATTATAAGGTATTAGGAAGAAAAAATATAGATGTATCATTATCACTTATTTTCATATGATGTGTCAAATCATATAAATATCATAATTCTAGCTGCACATGTTGGACTGCTGTTTGGAATTACAGTTAAATGAAGCAATTTTTATTTATTTATTTTCTTTTGTTCAGGTATGCTTTTTCAGACAATTTTTTGGGTCAGTCACTAAGGTTGATTACCTAACACTGAGGCATGGATTTATCATGGTATGTTGATCTACAGTCGCCTAAAAGTGCCAATTTGTACATTTTTAGTATGAAACTGGAGCTAAATGACATTTTTCATTTTTGTTTTAATTTCAGGCACATTTGGCACCAGAGAGCGAAACAAAGTTTGATTTCCAGAAATATATTAGCAGATCACTTGAAGAGGATTTCAAAGTTGTCGTTGGGATTAAGTTGGTCCTCTCATCTCCAGTCAATTTCTCTGGATATTTATTTTTTATTTTTATTTTTTGTTCTTTTTCTATTTTCTCAATTACATACAATCTGAAACTCCACTTCATATATATGTTTGCAGTCCAATAATGTGGTTCTTTGCCATCTTGTTCTTGCTCTCCAACACATATGGTAAGACTAAGCCAGTAAAAGTTTTAATAATCAATCTCTCTTAGCATTTTACTTACTGATTATAAATGCTTCTTTTGAACAGGAATTTACTCCTATGTTTGGCTACCATTTCTCCCTTTGATTGTAAGTTAAAAAAAAAAAAAAGGGAAAGACATAATTCCATAAAGCTCAAATACCATAAAAGAAATTTATGATCATTTTGTAATTGCACAAATTGCAGATAATTTTAATGGTTGGAGCTAAACTCCAAGTGATAATAACAAAGATGGGACTGAGGATTCAGGAGAGAGGTGACATTGTGAAAGGTGCACCATTGGTTCAGCCAGGAGATGACCTCTTTTGGTTTGGAAGGCCTGGCTTCATGCTCTTTCTCATTCACTTTGTTCTCTTTCAGAACGCGTTTCAGCTCGCCTTTTTCGCGTGGAGTACGGTAAGCATTTCTCCGAAAAATCTTCACAAGTGGAAGAAAAATGCATAAGCATGTGGTTAGAAGAAGTTCACACAGCCAATTTCTGTGTTCTAATTAATGATTATCTTTTTCTTTTTTCTTTTGTTTTTTTTTTTTTTTTTATCCTTCTTCAGTATGAATTCAAGATAAAATCTTGCTTCCACAGTCGCTCTGAAGATATAGCCATCAGACTGTCAATGGGGTAAGTATTTTTGCATGAGAGTAGAACATCAATATGTTTAATTATAGTGGCAGAGACACAAATCATTAAATTGTTTTTAATATGGACGCTACGAAAAGAAATTACTATTTTATTAAATGGAAACATAATTATATATTTTAATTATTGATGAGGACACAATTATTATTTTTTTGAGGGTACAACTAAAATTAAAAAATAATAAAAGATTGAAATTTTAAAATTTGAGCGGCACAACAATTGGGCTCCGTCACTGTATGTCACATTTTTTTTGTTATAATACACACTGACAAAAACTGGACAATTGGAATTTCCTCAGGATCATCATACAAATTCTATGCAGTTATGTCACTTTGCCTCTCTATGCTCTTGTGACACAGGTGAGACATAATTCCTTTCTACACTATCTTATCAATTGACAATTTAAAAAAAAAAAAAAAAAGAACTTCTGTGACTTATCTTCTGTTTGATCTCATCACAGATGGGCTCCAACATGAGACCAACGATATTCCACGACAGAGTAGCGACAGCACTAAAGAAGTGGCACCACTCAGCCAAGAAGAACAAGAAGCACAACCGGCATTCGGAGGGAAACTCGCCCTTCTCGAGCAGGCCGGCGACTCCGACATACGGCATGTCCCCGGTTCATCTCCTGCACAATTACCGGAGCAGTACCGCGCCCAATAGCATGCACACGTCCCCTAGGGGATCCAACGTCGAAATCAACTACTACGATCCCGAGAGTTCGCCGTCCCCTAACAATGGACCAGCCAATGCCAATGACAACACCCAAGGAAATATTGCTAAATTTGCCAATGTCATTAGTGAAGAAGGCAAGCAATCCCAGGAGCCTAGCTCATCACAGCAGCATCAACATGAAGTCCAGATTAGCTTATCTGAATTTTCATTTGGGAAATGAATTTAAATAAATATAAGCTGAAGTTTGTGCTTCAAGAAAAAGAAATGTTGCTTGCAATAGTTTTCTTCTTTTTTTTTTTTCCTTTGTTTTTTTGGTGTACATTTTTTTGAACAAGATACACATGTGGTTGAACGTGGCAGAAACTGTAGTATTGGGGATTATTTCTCAATTCCTTGTGTATTCATATAGGTTGTTGTACTAAATGATTTTAATTCCTTAGGCATCATGTAATCATAAATCAGTTTTACTTTTACAGTTTTGTTTTATTTACTTTATTTACTTCAATAATTCCCTTTTTCAGGTCAATCTCTAAGGGTTTTTTTTTTTTTTTTTTTTTTTTTTTTGAAGTTAGCTAGAATGCTAAGGTTGTCCTCCATAGTACTTACTATTCCTCTCTTTGTATATGTTTCGTTGCATGAGAAAAACAAAAAAAAAAAAAAAAAAAAAACTCTGTCACGTAATTTGATAAAGGGATCATAAAGAACATTTTTAAAGTACATAACATATTTTTAAAACAATTAAAAGTGATATTTACTGGTGAATATTTATTTATCCAGCATAAATACATTATTTACTGATAATAATTTTTTATCCTGAGTATTGATCAGAAAATGTAATTTACGTCTAATAAATAAATATTTACTAATGAATAAGCTATTTACTTTATTGTTTTAAAAATATGTTTTTCACTTTAAAAAGTTTCAAAAGATTTGTTATTTTTGTGCAACCAAGTGATAATTATGACCCACTTTCAGAAAATTTTTTTGTGCAACGAGCCAACTACAGTTTCAAAAAGTCACATTCTCATTATAATTAGTTTTGAATTTTGTTGATTTGTTATTTTTGTGCAACCAAGTGATAATTATGACCCACTTTCAGAAATTTTTTTTGTGCAACCAGCCAACTACACTTACAAAAAGTCACATTCTCATTATAATTAGTTTTGAATTTTGTTGATTAGAAGGGATTCATAAAGTCCTTTCAAATCCAGTGTTCTTTTCTTGTACGACTTTCTATTCATATGATAACTTTGGCATGTCAAACAAAATACATATGGCATATAAACATTTTATGATGTGTCAAGAAATTTTATCAGCAAAAGAATAAGTAGACCTTCTTGTAAAATGAAGTATTTGTTTGTGTATTATTGCTGAGAGTATTTCACATTCTACTTTTAAGATATGCTTGAGTTTTCAGGGAAAAAAAAAAAAAAGAAGAAAGAAGAAAGATATGCTTGAGTTGATATACTAATTATTTAATATTTTGTGGGCTCCATATGAGATTCTTTTCTTTATCTCTTAAACAAGTGATAAGATTATTCCTTTAGCTTAAACTATCATCATATATTTATTGTCACTTAAGAATCATTTAATTTGCTTTTTGAAGTTTATGAGATCTTGATAACCCCATTCTCCTTTTCATTTTTCCTTCATTTCTCCTTCATTTCTTTCCCCTTTCCAATTTAGTATACGTCATTGAATTAATTGATGCTAGTGACCTAACTCCCAACCAAGGTTAAGGGTATAAACATAATTAAATAAAGAAGATGGTCCCATTAGTAATAATTGAAAACATTAAGGTATAAAGTGATAATTAGAATGCCGCTCCTTATTTTAGTTGTTGCATTTGATACAAAGGAAAAAAATGTTAATACAAAAAGCTCTTAGAGCTTGTTATTTTTACAACTTAAATTACAACTCAAATTCTTTTATTATAATGTTTTATATTAAAAATTTAAATTTAATTTTTTTACTACAATATTTTTTCTAACATAAAAAAATTTGAGTTGTGATTTAAATTGCGAAGAGATTACACCATAATCCACACTTTTATATTTAAGAGTTGGCTTTGTCTCCTATTATATGCAATATATATATATATATTTCAAAAAATATATATATTTTTTCTTAAAGCTAAGATAAGAACATCTAGGGAACTTTATCTAAATACAAAAATAACAATAATCCTATCATAAAAACTCTCACAATCGGTGAAATGAACGAGATCAAAGATTACTAGTAAAATTGTTAATAATATATATTTTTCCTATTATTGTCATCATTACGTAATAATAGAGCACTTCCTTTATTATAACGTAATAAAAGAGCATATTATAAACGTTACATAATGGTAATTAATTTTTTTTTTTAAAAAACGAATAATGAAGTAATTTTTTTTGCTTGAAATAATGATAATTAATTTAATATAATAGAAACACGTCATAATAGTGATGCATCGCAATCCGTCACCTTACCCAACTCAAAGCTCAAAATCGGGGCTGCATTATACTCTAATCATTAACTAAAAATAAATAAATAATCAAACAATTAAAAACTAAAAATAAAAAAGAAAACAATCTCATCTCTCACTCACCCACTCTGATTCAGAAGATTGATTTCCTGATTGATTGAATCGCGGCCGTTGATCGTCTCAATCATGGAGGTCCGACCCAATCCGACGGCCGACAACTCGTCGGCCACACCGCTGCATCGCCAGCGTCAAAGTCCGTCGAAGCAGCCTGCCGCCTCTCCCAACCCCGTCGACACCACTGCCGTCTCCCAGAGGTCAGTCCCTTCCTGTTTGTTTCCCGAGAATTCGCAGGAAAGGACAAAAAGCAAAGTTGAAATTTTTGTATCTTGATATGATTTGGTTGGTTATGCGCAGGTTGCAGAAGGAGTTGATGTCTCTTATGGTGCGTAATCCAAGTTTAGTTTCGTCTTTTATTTATTTTGTTTATTTTACGCGTTGGTTCTTGAATTAGCCATTTTTCTGTTGTTCAAAATCCTTGGATTTTTCTTTTTAATTAGTTGATTTAGTAAAACAAATGATAAGGGACTTTCTTTATTGGTTCTTGGTTTCCGTGATTCTAGGTAATTACATTTTGTTGTTGTTCATTTTAAAAAACACTGATTACTTTGAACGAATCAGATAAAGAGTCTGTGAATTCATGGGAATGATATTTGTGTCTGAACATGATGAAGCAAAAAAACATAACTTGTTCATGGTTTAGACCATAATGGTAGTTTTTAATCTTGTGAAGTTCAATGAAATCTTGTCATTGAAGGATTTTTAGACAAAATCATGCCTTTTTCGCCCCGAATTTGCAGTCGTCACCATATTGAAATGGGCTAGTTGTTCTTGCTAATCTTGAAGCTTAGGGATTTCGAAACAAAATCATGTGTACATGTTTTTAGTACTATTTGCCGTATTGAAATGGGCAGTTGTTCATTCTAATCTTCCACTTTCAAGATTTGACGTTTACTCTTTTACGTGCCGTTGATGTTAGACATTTTCATTGTTTAGGTTCTGTAATTACCGCGTTCTGTGCCAAGTGTAGGACTGTCCTGCATAATTGGTTGTTGTCTGGATTCCAACCTTTGATATGGTTCACTTTCTGCAGATGGGCAGTGAGGATCTTGGGGTATCGGCTTTTCCTGAAGGAGAGAGCATTTTTACATGGATTGGCACAATTGAGGGTGGAAAAGGAACCATGTATGAAGGTTTATCTTACAAACTTTCTTTGCATTTTCCAGTCGACTATCCTTTCAAGCCCCCACTAGTGAAGTTCGAGACGATGTGTTTCCATCCTAACGTGGATCAGTTTGGCAACATTTGTCTTGACATCCTTCAGGTATCTATGAGTTCTCTACAGGACAACAATATGAGGATGGAATTGGAGAACAGGCACCCATCTTTGCATTTTATTTTCTGCTGATGGGGATAATATAGTGTCGATTGTCGAAGTGTATAAAGCGTTTTTCGATGTTTGTATTGTGCTTGTATTTTTGTGAAAAACATGATTTGGACTAAGTGCAAGTTTTGATTCACTCGAATTAGATGTTTAATTTCTAGGATTTTCCCCAGCCAACTGCCCTTGAAGTGGCATTTTACTCGCAGCAAAGGATAATATAGCTCTGTTTATTACATTGTGTTGGTGTTCATCACATTTTCCTCATTAAGTTGATACTATTCTTGTTATATGTTGATATGCTACCGCAGGACAAGTGGTCTTCCGCTTATGATTGCAGGACTATTCTTCTGTCCATTCAGAGTCTTTTAGGAGGTCTGCTTGTTTTTCTCGTTTTGAGTTCTTACTTTCCCTTATTCATGATCATACATGCTTGAATATTTTTGTTCTTTTTCGTCACAGAGCCTAATCCGGAGAGTCCTCTCAACAGCTATGCTGCAACATTGTGGAACAACAAGGAAGGTTAGATACATTTTCCCCGCTTGTTTTATTCATCTTTCCATCTCTTTTTTGACGACTTTTTCTTATAATAGAGTTTTATATTGGCGTAATTTATGTGTTTAAGTTATTATAATGGCTTCTTTTTTTTTTTTTTTGTTTAATTCAGATTATAGAAAAATGGTTCAGAAGCAGTATTTTGCTGGAGAAGCGATTGAGAGCTGATCTGCAGAATCTTCTTCACACATCTGAAAAAGTGGTCGTCTCGTTTTCATACAAAAATGTATAGCTCCGGCAAAAAATTTGCAATTTGAAAATACAGATTGTCATTGAATATTAGAAAAAGGTTGATCTACATGCTTCATAATTTTGTCAATTGGATGACCGTATAAGACCAAGGAGCGTGAACTCTTTGGCTAATGAGTTGTATTTAGTCGCCAGTAATGGTGAAATGAAATAAAGCCTATCTAGTTGTAAATTTTTGTGAATCAAATGAAGGTGCCTGGTTTTTTGTTTCTTCTGAGACAACATAGTCATACTATTTTCTTTTCCTCTCTTTTGGAAGGAAACATAGCCATACTTTTATTTCTTCTGTATGATGGAATAAAAGTACAATTGGGTGTCTAATGCAAGTTCCATAGTGCAATATCATCTTGTAAGTGGATAAAATAAATGATTTTGTTGCCTGTGTCCGTGATTTTTTGTTATTATGAAAGTACAGTTTTGTAGATTACTTGGCATAAAATCCATTAGCAATAAGGGTGTGCTCGTTATGAATTAGAATATTATTATTGATCACCAATAATATTACCCCCAGGCACAAATTAGCCTAGTAATATTACAACTAGTGATGGATCCACTCATTAACAAAAATAGGAGGAAAAAAAAAACTTGTGATGAACATTCATTAGTTATTAATCAACTTAAATCACGGTTTAGTTTTGTTGGTCTATAGAGCAGGCCTCAAATACGTAGTGCTACTAATATTTAGTGAAGCCGAAGTTCAATCTTAAGCAAATTTTTTTTTTTTTTTTGGATAATTAAACTTTTAAATGCTTTGCTGGTTATGAAATTTAATCTTTGGAAATCTTTATGGTGGGGAAGGCTTGATTGGTAGGAACCGTTGAATTAAAAAAGTTACATTTGTGCATGTTGACATTAAAAATTACAGCGCACGCGACACGACACAAAATTACTCTTATAAATCAAACCGTTGAAAAACTAATCCATCTGTTAAAGCGCAGTTTCCACCGACGCAGCAAAACAACCTTCTCCATTATAAATTAATGTTTAGTAAACTTTATTTTTTTTTTCTCTTTTTTCATAATTAACTTTGTACCCTTTTTTTTATTTGTACCAACTGACCTGCGGCTCCCGCCTGCTTGGTTGAATTCTCTACTGGATGTTTTGGTAATTACTTGACCACAACTCCCATAACCTTAGATCTGACGCCTTTTTTACACTCCTTTCTAAATGGTTGTAGAAGCCCCGGGGGACCAAATGACTTGACCGTTTCTTCCAAACCTACTTAAACCTTCTGATTCATTGGCCGGATAGTGAAATGGAATAAGCTAACCTAGCATGTCTTTATCTCCTTGCTCTTTTTTTTTTTTTTTTTTTTTTTTTTCTCGCATCATATTCCAATACAACTATACAAGATAGTAAACACGGTAGGGAGGAAAAAAAGAAGCTAGTAAGCTGATACAGCAAATCCAAGAATTACACAAAATTTGATCAAACTAAACAGATATAATATTAGTACAAACACTTGAGGATATGGAGAAGAAAAATGCAATGAATAGTGAGTGTTCGACAAGAAGTATAAGTTTTTCCTTATTAGAATTGTGCAAATATAAGTTTATACAAGTAAGCAACCTGAAACGCCCCAGACGCAAAAGAACAAGTCCACTGATAAGAGTAGACGCAAATAAGGCGGGAACAATTCTTTTGGAACATCTATTCTATATTATCTTGAGCAAGAACTAAGATGAATAGTAGTGCAGAAAAGCACCCCCAAAAAAAAAAAAAAAAGCATTGTAAGGATCACAATCCGCAGCAAGATGCAAAACAAAATCATACTCCAGAATCCAAGAAAAATGCTCTTCCTAGAAACCTTTGAACTTCTAAAATTGTCACCTGAGTACAGTACATTGCTTTTGGTTGATCGGATATGAATCTCAAGTTCGAGCTCAAATTGAATCAAACATTTTCGGCGGCATCTCCTTGTGATTCTTCTGAACTCCGTAAAGCAGCCAGTCTATCAGCCGCAAGTCTTTCCTCAAGTGCACGAGCTCCTCTTTCCCTGCAAGGAAAGTTCGATCACAATCTTTTAGACTATCTTTTCTCTCCAAAATAAATAACTATTCTACCATCATGGTTGCGGTTCTTGCACCCTACAGTGTTATACCCGGCCAAGCTTTGTATGGCTGCATTGAAGCAAGGAAATTACCTTCTCCTAGATGCTTCAATAGGATCAGATCCAGGCAACGGAGCACCTCCTAGTGTGTAACCCTGGGCATCATTAGATGCTTCGGATCTTCCACAAAGCATCCGATGGAATATAGTTGCAATGGGATCAATGACAGGTCTGTATGATAACGGACAAGCAACAATATTAGATAGAGACCAAAAGATGGCATTCCTTCAAATTCATAATCTAAATGGGCTAAAAAAATAGTAAACCAAAGAAGCATTAATTTACCGTAAAAATTCAGGGAAGAAAGTTGAGAATGCAAAATCATCACTTGGGTCACCCTTGAGTTTTGTTTCTGGTTTCTTCTGCCAATATCTGAGGTAAATCCAGCTCATGTATGCACCAAAGTATAGGGTTGGAAGAATTGTTGTTGTCTCTGAAGTAAAGATGCATATGGCGGTTGATAGCAACAAATAGAGAGATGGAAACCACTGGAGATAATTGGAAGCACTGTCAGAGGTGTCGAAAGACAAATCCTCAACTTGCCAAAATTTCATTGAAGAATGTGCAAGGATAAAGCTCATACCTTAGCTTTCAATTTTAGTACAGGAAACTCCTGATCGGGTATGATCTGTTTGATGCCAACCAAGAATCCTGAAAGGATCCCATGGAAGCCAGAAAGAGGAAAATACCTAGCACCGAGAAATTTAAAGGTTTGAGACAAGAGGAACAATGAACTAGGGAGAATATATAAAGTCACTATGATAAATGGTAGAATACATCATCCTCAGGAAGCAGTAGGATTGTGTTATGAAAGTTTCCCCAGATACAGTACAAAAGTTGTGCAATTTGTTATTGCAATAATTCCATTGAAGTTTTGAAATATCTCTAACTAAGAGAATCAGGTATTTCAAGTGGTATTCCTGTTTTTACTTCAGAGTAATCAGATTGATAATAAAGAATGTACCAGCGCAGGAAGTGAAGAAGTTGAAACATAGAAAGAGCGAAAAGAAAGGCTATAAAAGTATGAAACATGCCAAATAATCCTTGATGATATCATAGCACTTACAAGTAATTTTCCTGCGTAGTAATATAGTACAACGCAATTGCAGTAATGAAAACGCATACAGATGTCAGAAAGTTGATGACAAAGATGAACTTGAAGAATTCTCTAGAACCCCATACAGGTTCAAGAAGCTTCCCAATAAAAAGGAGACCAATGGTGCTCATAGCCATCTATTTAACAGGTACAAAAGTTAGTACTGCATCAAAAACCAGAGTAAAAAGTAATAGGAGATGTTCAGGAGATGGGAGCTTTCTACAATAGGGGTACGGGGCACCTACTGTTAGTGCATGTTTTGAACATTATTTGGTCAAAATCACATCAAAATAAGGAAAAAAAAAAAAAAAAAAAAAAAAAAAAAAAAAAAAAGGTAAGCAAAACTGACAATTTAAAACAAAGCCCTACCGGTAGGGTATTTAAGGTATTTTTTTCACACCCTACCATTGAATTCTCCGTATAAGATTCTTAGATAATATAAAAAGTTGAGAAACTAATGTCAATGGAACGGAGTAACATACCCCATGTACTGATTGTTCAACATAACCAGCTGTTATGAGGTTCCAGGCAAAAGGAATTGTCCTACAAAATAGAAGGACAAACAAGAATAAGTACCAATGATCGTCATATGGCAAAAATTCAGACTCTATAAAATTGGTCAAAATGACTCTTTGTTAAGTCCAAAGGGATAAAAAAATCGGATACATAGTTTAAATTCCTATGGCAGTAATCCCCAGCAAGCAATCTGAGTTGACTCCTTGATTTCTCGCATAAGTGATTATTTCGGCTTCTAATCAAACACCAGCTCAGCAGACAAATCAAACTAAAGGAAAGAGAAAAATTACACAAAACTCGCTGCTAAAAGATCAAAAACTTGCCATTTCCCTGTACTCCACATCAATTTAACTTGAATCTCTATCCGATCCTAACACTTCCATTTCCAATCCGTTTATCAGTGATTAAGGCTAAAGCCATCCTCAAATGTCAAAATTACACACAAAATAAACGAAATTCACTCCAAAACTCTTTACGGATTTCTAGATTCATTTGGCAATACCGAAATTCAGTGAAAAAAGATTATCGAGAGACAAAACCTGGCGGGAATCAGAGCGAGATAATTAATAGCCGGAGGCAGAACCTGGACCACAATGTGACCGCCGACGAGCACCACCGCCAGGCCCTTGCATAGCCGCGTGAAACCGGAGAAAGCGCCCTGCCAACGAAAACAACTAAGAATCACCATTAAAAGGAGAAAGCGCATCAACTCGCGAGATGAAACTCAGTGAGTGGACGAAACGACCTGGATCGGAGTTGCGGAGAAGGAAGGTAGTTGGCTTACCCCTGAGGAGAGTGCCGGAGTGCTCATCGCTGAGAGAGATTCAATGGCCGCGACGAGATCTTCTCTGACTCAGAAAGACTTTGAGCTTGAGGAGATTTTGTCAATTTTCTTTCTTTTCCTTTTTTTTCACGGATTGGATTTAACTTTTCTCAAGGAAGGTAATTTATAATAAATTTAATATTGGGACGCTTTGAGAATAACGTTGTTATATAACCGCGTGGTTGTTCAAGGGGACGATTTTTTTTTTTTTTTTTTCCTAAAATTAATATGATTGTAGTTGTTGGATGGGATCTTAAAGAAGAACATGTAGCCGTGATGGTGGTATAACGGTAAGAGCACGTTTAGTTAGAAAATTTATTCTCTGATTTAAATCATGCTTTATAATTTATTATAGTATTTTTTTTATAAAAAATATAAATAAATAGAAAATAATTTTAATATTATGGTTTTAATTCATGAACCAAACGGATTCATTATGTTTGACATGTTAAATATGACTCAGATTGTTATGTTTTTGTAATATTAATTGATAAAAGTACGAGACATATTCATTTCTGTTATACATGAGTTTAGTAAATTGTATTGTTGAATCGGAGCATGACCATTAATCTCTTTTTTTCGTTAGGAAAAAAAAATATAGCTTAAAGTCGAAGGTTTTTATTTACTTATATTTTTTAATTGGTATGTCAAACATTACAAGTTAATATCTTTTCTATTATGTAACTAACTATTAATTTTTTAAACACTTTTAACTATTTGAGAATTTTAATTAAACTATTAAAAACATCAAATAACACTAAATAATAAAGATAACATATACTAAAATAGTATCATAAAATATTGTTCCAGAAAAGGTTATAAAAGAGTTCTAGTCGATTTGATTGGTTTCCATGATTTGAAATATTAATATTGCTAACCAAACTGATAAAAAAGAAAATAAAATTCTTAGGGATCAAATCAAAAAACAATAGCGGTCGATTTAGAATGGTTCTGTTGTGGTTATTTCTTTATTTTGTTTTCATAAGAGTAACGTTAATACAATAGTTATAATCTTTTTGCTTTTATTTCACGTTTTTATTATGGGCCTATAATTGTTTATGATTGTCCCTTAGAGGATAGATCTAAATTTTTACTTATTATTCTTGATTAATATCTTTTTTAATTAAATAATTATATTAATTAAAATGATATTAATTAAGAGTAAGAGTCAAAATTTCAGACCGATGCACTCTAAGAATAAATTTAATAATTTTATAACATGTCAGGTAAAATAGTGAATATCATTGGATAAGACTCGAAGGTATTATGTTGAATTTTATCACGTGTTTGGTAAGCAATCCATTAAGTCACTTCGAAAATCAATCCAACTTTTTGATTCATCACTAAATTAGATATAATAATTGAAAATTAATTCTATTCAAATAATTATGAAATTGTAAATGTGGAAAGAAAAATTTAGTAATGTCCAGTGAAAATAATCTTTTTTAATAGTAAAATTTTAAGAATTAAAGAAAATTTAATACTAATTTAAATTAAAAAAAAACAGATATTTTGCATTAAACTTGAAAGGAAATCCTGATGACCTGCTAAAGAAATTGCCAAGCATGATTTACCTGTCAAATATATCAACGCCAAGGACAATTACAATTGTATTGGATTTGAATTCTCATGTTTTACACGCCCTGTTCTTTCTTTCGCCTTTTTCATTTTGGAGGACGGATCGTCTTAAAATACACAATAAATGACATCCCTTAAAGGCTTGGGAAGAATATGATAAGGTATCTGTAACAGAAGCTATACATGTTAGGTGTTGATTAAATATACATAACAACAGCGTCTACAATTCTACATCCACGTACACCTTTGTTAAAAAGCCACTCTGCAAATGCCAGTGCTGAGATGCGCAAATCGTTACAAGAACAGAAAATGTTTGTTGAAGAATTAGCCTCGGACTTCAGTCTGGAGTCCGACACGAAAACTGGCGTGTTTATGGCCTTGGCACTGTTTCAATCTGCTCAAAGAAAAGAACAAAAGTATTCGTATGCAGTGTTCTCTACTGAATCTCGGTTCAGTGAGCTTTGACTTCAGGAATTAATTTAGAGCAGTGCTTGCACTTGGTCCTCCTCAAAAGAGGTTTAGCTACAAGAGTTGCGACAAAAATTCATGTGCCCATTGCATATTGCTTGGGAGCCAATGATACAGGGCCGAAGTAGGCTTCCGATAAGGATACCACAACACGATGACAAGCTATAGCTGAAGCAGTGAGGAGCATGACAAAGGAAACCCAGTAGAATCTCAGCATCAATACTGGTTTTCTTCTTGCGGACTTCAATATATGTGAGAAGATCACTTTGAGCCGCCGATCTCGTAAAATGGAATCATAATCATAGATAGGCATGGATGATCTGGAAGATGAGCTTAGCTCTCTGTTGCCAGCTCCAATTGATAATATCACCTTTGAACCATAGCGAGTTGTCGTAATGTCTTGTCCAAGTGCTTTGAAGATCCACAAGTACAAGACGTCTGCAATAACCCTGCAAAATTGCTCGCGGAAGACTTTTGCCTCCTTTGAGACCACTGCTTGGATTATTGAAGCTCCATCCTGTTTATTGAATGAACAATAAGTCTCAGTTTAACAAGACAAATTAGTTATAGACAATGACCATGGGTCACCAAGTTTAATGTATGTCAACCCTTCATTTGCCCTAACCATTGATTAAAAAAAATGGTACTGATTTGATGCACCTACAATTAATCAATTCAGACAAAAATGTTAACGGAGAACACAAGTAATGAAAAAGTGGCAAGAAAAAAGGAAAGAAGCAGCTAGAGGTACAACCCACAAGGATTAGGTGCAATCTGCTGACCTGAACTCAATGTAACAGTAACTACAATGCCATTGGCTAATAATAAGTAATAACAGTGGTAAAATACAGAAGGAAAAGTAAAGGGCACACCATAAAGGAAAAGTAACGGTGGTATAATACAAGAAAGGGTCCGGATCAATGACTTACTGCAGTCATCAAGAGTCGTCTCAGCACAGCACCATCATTAGAATGTAGAAGCCTCAAGACCAAATTCGCCAAATCAAATATGTTATTCGAGGTACTAGGTAAATTTTTAATGGCAGCCTCATTCCTTGATACAATCATCCGGTTTAAGCCTTTCCTGCAAAGAAGTAACAAGAAGAAAAATAAGCTGTGAATGGAGAAAAACAGGTTACATATGTAACAGAAAGTAATGATATAGACACACAGATATCTTTCTAATAGTTCCTTCTTTGAATATTAGAGGAGCTAAGGGAGCAGCTCAGAATTACTACTGGAGCTTTTAGTGATTTAGATGTTAAATTTACGGTGTCTAAACTGCTTTCTTATATCTTTTGTTTGTCAATTTCGTTACAAAAAAGGACCTTCTATTGTACAATAGCAAGTCACGAAACCAAAAGTAGACACAATTTAAGGAAACACGATAAAAGTTTACGGCCTTCAAGTTCTTTGAAGATGTTATGATTACAGAGCTCAAAGACAAGGTAGAAAATACATCACATCACATCGTTCAGCATACCTAGTTGCACCTGCCCTTAAAAATAGTGCAAGCCTCTGCCACTGGAACTCCTTCTTTTTGTTTAAAACCACCTGAACAAAGTGAAAGCAATTCATGCATCTAGGAAAAAGTCTTAACAGATTTAACCTAAAGAAAAACAGGAAGCATACAACATGATTAAGTTGACAAATTGGTTCAAAATAACTGCGGTAAACAAAAATTTCCATCTTCCAAACTTGCAACTTCCCAGCTAAGAACATCTCCGAGCCTAAATAAATGTCAATTTCAAACTATAAATCTTTCACTTCTAAAATAGTATGAAACAAAAGAATCCAACTATTACAATGGTAAAACTGGCAAACACAGTCGACAAACAGTGAAAAAATGTTTAGTTATGAAAGTGTAAGATTCATGAGAAGTTGATACCGAATATAGGATTTTATTTGTTGCAGCTGAATTTTCAGTAAGAAGTTTCTGAAAGACATAAGGGTATGCAGCTTCAAATGTCTTGAAGTCCTTATCTGCCGCTAGTGCAAGACCTGTAAGAACATGAGAAAGAAATATAAATTGTCATGAGTAGGGGTCAAAACATAACCTTAGGAGGGGAAAGATACAAATTTTTTAACTTGTATACCTAAACAGAGTCAATATTCTTAACTTATAAGACCTACTTTTTTTTTTTTTTTTTGAAAATGACTTATAAGATCCACTTTCAGTAAGTTTGGTTCCTCCAATGGACCGGTTTTTCTTCACACAAAGAATATACATTATACAGAAAACAGGCTTCAAAATTCTTTTAGAGACACTATTTCCTGTAACCTGTATTCATCAATCCTCACTACAACTACATCTACACTACAAGAAAACATGAAAGAAAAAGGAGGGCAAAACAAAAGAGACTTTGAAAGGAAACACACACACACACACACACACAGTTTCTGATAGCTTGCATAAATTATGAGCAGACATAAGCTGAAACTTTTATTTACCTTCAAAAGAGGCAAGAGATCGTAGGAGTAGAGTGAAATATGGTGGCATGCGAAACTGGTACTTGAGAGCTATGGACAAGATTTTACCCAGAACCTGCAGAAAAAAGTTGTATGAAGAATTAGCCAGTACCAAATATAAAGCAGCAACAGAATATTCTGTGACACGGGTGTACATGGAGATGAATATTGTATGGCATCCAAGCACCAAAGAGACAATCAACAGCAATGCAGCTTAACTTAATGAACAGAGACCCAAAGATATCATGTGATATATTCTCATCTGAAAGGACATAAAAATACAATAGCAACAACAACAACAAGAAGCCTTAATCCCAACTTAATTGGGGTCGGCTATATGGATTTCACTTTTCCATGCAGCTCTGTTCGAAATTAGACTTTCCTGAAGGCCTAAATCTAGAATGTCTTTCCTAACAAAAGACATAAAAATACAAACTAAAAAAATATTCTCAAGATAGATATTCACCCTGCTGAACTTCAAATCAGGAATTCCATCTCTGAATTCTACTTCTCCAAGTGCATATTCCAGATCCTGAGACATGATTACAATTCCATCATTTTTTTTTAAGACAGTATCAGAAGACATACAAGTGAAAATAATTTGACTGAGTATCCTCCAGAGAATACAGTCAAGGTCATTTTGTAAATAGTAAAACTAAAATTAGAGAATATTATATTAATACCAATATAACACGTCGTATATTAGTCCCTGGCCTTATAATGTCCATATCAGTCAGAGCATAGACAAGGGATGCCCAGTCCCCATTTACTATATGCACTATAGATGCGAGCATGGCAAACTGATGCTTCTTTTCCATCCGACAAAGCAAACCAAAGTCCAGAAAACTGAAAGAAATGTGGAGGTGATGAAACTTAGATGCAACCTTAGATAGCCCTTATATATGTATATATGTATGTATGTCTGCACACACACACACACACACAATTTTCAGGAACAATCACAAATACCCTATTTGCCCTGAAGATGTGTAACGCAGATTTCCAGGATGTGGATCAGCATGCAGTAAACCTGTTTCCAGGAGTTGGACTAGCGTTGCCTCCACTCCTTTGCTAACCTAGAAAGTAGAAAAGTTAATCTGTTAGTGACAACATGCGGTGATGTAAATCTGACTAGTACATGGTAAAGCCCAAGACGAGTAAAATTTGGAGAATATCTTTTTTGATTAACGGGATATTAGAAAACCACGGTTTATTTTTCAATCCATTTTATTTTCTTAGTTAGCTGAACTCAACAAGTATTTCTGAATTACTCGAAGTGAAGCAAATCACACACCAGATCAAGAAGTCTCCTTTTTGCATCAAACTTCTGCCTCTCTGCATATGCAGAGTCATTATCAACAGAGCTCCAAGTAGACATAGAGAGTAGATCAGTGGGACTCTCACCAACCATCCACTCCATAGTCAGAACTCTCTTTTGACTTAAATGCTGAAGTACCTTTGGCACACGCATGAATGAAAAGGAAGAATGCACTTCCTATAATGAGAGAAAACAAACAATCAACAAAAAGCAAGAGTACGTTATACAGAAAGTAAATATGTTACTGGGAAAGTGCGTTGGAAGTACTACATATTTTCCCAAACACATAGAAATATAAACAATTAATACAACAATCAATACCATAAACTCAGAAGCATTTGCAGCCTCTAGAGTATAATCCAATTCTCCAACTAAACCTTTCCCGAGCTCATCAGCATACAGACGCAGGTCACTTTTCCTCTTTGCTATCTTTTGCAGTATTCCTAGCTGAAACAGTTCAACTATAACATAAGAACTAAGTCTAGGAAAAATACAGACAAGGACCTAATAGAAACTAATACAAACCCCAAGACGAAGAATATATATATCTCGCACAACTACATGCCGCATGTTGGGACGCTGAACTTTAACGGCGACAGTAGATCCATCTAGTGTACTCGCAAAGTAGACCTAAATGTATGATGCACAAAACAAACAAATTACTTGTTAACATAAATGTAATGACTATACTTTCATAATTGCATGCATAGACACAGATCACAGTAGTATTATTCCATGAGTATTTATTCAAACTATCAATAGCATCTAAAGACCAACCTGACCAAAAGATGCAGCCGCTACTGGTTCGTCTGAAATGTAGCTAAAGACTGATTCCACTGGAGAACCTAATTCTTCCTCAATAATTTTCATGGCTTCATTCCTTGGAAAAGGAGGTATTTGATCATGCAGTTCAGACAATGCCTGCAGATTGTGATCAACAACAAAAATGAGAAAGGAAAAGAAAAAAGTGCATGCGAGAGAGAGAAGTTAATCTAGAAGTTCAATTATAACAAGAAGGCATGAATTATTTTTTCATGACGTGTTCTAGACGTACAAAAACCTTTTGCATCTACGCAAATATCATAAACATAGTGGAGTCCTCATCAGAAATGACTAGCAAACTTACTTGACTCACTTGTAAGTAACCCGGGAGTGAGAGAGAGATAGTCGAAAAATATTATTGCATAGCCAAATTACTAAATATTTTTGAATTCATAACTCGTATAGTGCTGATAAACTAGATTAACATGAAATTAAACCAACACAGTCAAACTTGATGGTTCGTGAAAGGAGAAAAGAGAAAAACAAGTAGGTCCATGGTACAAAGAAATGTCTGGCATTGAAACTGTGCTTCCCCATACAATCAAAGAGTACAGTAATGCAAGAAAAAGATGGAAAATTCTTCATAATCTGACCTTGGAAATCTCACTACCAATAATGTCTGGCCTCGTGGAAAGCGATTGACCAACTGCATCAGCAAGCAAACGCATGTAACTAGCATATTGGTAATCTTGTGACTGCAGAAGAAAAATAAAAGTCCCAGTATATAATTTAAAAGAGCAATGAGAGAAGCACGGACAGGCAAAAACAAAGGAAAGTGGAAAAGAATAAAATAAAATAAAGGATTTCTGTGAAACTTTTATACAACACTGCTAACCTTTGATAAAAGTGGGGCCTAGCTTAAGCATTGTTTCTTTCAACACCACTCCGAAATTGTATTCAGACAGGCCCCCGTTAATATCATTATCCCCACTTGATCTCAAGAACTTTCTTAATCTAGAGTCGGAGGTTCGAATTCGGATCGTGGCAGCGGCAAAGGAGGAAAAGACCTTGCAGTATACAACATTGCAAGTCAGTCAAGAAGGTTTACAAATGCATAATAATGAACAAAGAAAATAGAAAAATAAATAAATAAATGAATAAACAACAATGAATAAATTAAAAACAAGATTGCGTTAGGAAAGTTTAGCTACCTCTAGAAGTCGAAATGCCACTACATGTGGCCTGCAATTGAAGTAGTCAGCAACTCTTTGTGCATCATAAACTTCAGGAAGTGGTTTAGACCAAGTCTTGGACAGATAGTAAAAATAAGCACCATATGCCTCCAAGGCTTTCAAATCAGCCATGAACAAATCGACACCAGAGAGTCCTGCGGAAATTAGATTTTAGAAGATGAAAATTTGTTAAGTGTATGGAGTTTAATTATTGTCCTTATCCAGAGTCCAGCATGCGGATCGACTTTTAAAGAGGATGTTTGAGACCTTTTACTCATTTTTCTTCGGTTTCCCTAATTATACTTATGTTGAGAGAGGCGTGAAGCGCGTGATGCTCTTGTAATCTTCTTCATCATTGAGGATGAATCACTATAGCAAAACTTTTGTGAGCATAACTCTTGTGTGTTTTTGTTTGTAACAAAAACTTCGATATCAACACTAAAACATTGCGAAATCGTGCAACGAAGAACACCCTTAATTTCACTGCACCTGATTACTATCAAGTCCCCGTTTTTACACACAAAGTCACACATAAATAGCTTAGCAAAGCATCATTCTAGCCACTTATTCCTGCTAATCAAACAACTTTCTAAGTAAATTCAGCCCTTTCAAACTACACAACTGATCTTAAAATTACAAATTAAGAACAGATTAAACGAATCATTTTTACTTCAAACAAACATAACCTCAAAGCCTCAAACAGAAACACAACACAAAACAATTTCTCACATCCCCAAGCAAAACTAACAATCCGAAGACAACTTTCCTCATTGCCGAACAAAATTCCAAAAAAAAAAATAATAATAATAACGACAAATTGTGCTTGACCTGGATATGAAGGTTGAGGCCAAGAAGGAGAGGGCTGAGGAGAGGCGTTGGGATCCTCCATGTTGCGAAGCCACACGAATTCGTCAATGGCTTTGGAGACCTGAGGAATCCGAAAGGCCTTGTTCGCCCACTCAAGCCCTTTCCCAATCCCATTCTTCACGAACTCCATGTCCTTCCGTACCGACCAAGCTAAGTGACTGAAATCCCCAAGAGCCCGTTGCTTTCCCTGCTTCCGCTCCCTCTGCGACGTCGTTTTCGAGCTCAGCAGGCCCGTGGCCCGCCGCCGACGGCAGCGCAGCCGCCACCATGGCCATCGGCGACGTTGTTTTGCAGTTTCTATTAGATTAATTTATTTTTATTTTTGTGGATTTTGGATGTGGACGGAGAAGAAAGAAAGTGAAATGGGGAAATGAGTGGCAAAAAGCAGAGAAATGACTAGGCTAGTGAGAGGGGATAGAGTGAGGTCGGGTTCATCTGAGCTCGGAAGTAGCTGTGTGGCTCTGAGTGGTCGGAAATCTCTATTCTGGGAGATTGATTATACATGGAAAGGGCTGCTTTTACTGTAGTATGTTCATACTAGTGTTATGAATAATATCTTTCTTATTTTACCCCCAATATCCTTTTTCTTCTTATTGAGGCCCGTGGCCCGCCGCCGACGGCAGCGCAGCCGCCACCATGGCCATCGGCGACGTTGTTTTGCAGTTTCTATTAGATTAATTTATTTTTATTTTTGTGGATTTTGGATGTGGACGGAGAAGAAAGAAAGTGGAATGGGGAAATGAGTGGCAAAAAGCAGAGAAATGACTAGGCTAGTGAGAGGGGATAGAGTGAGGTCGGGTTCATCTGAGCTCCGAAGTAGCTGTGTGGCTCTGAGTGGTCGGAAATCTCTATTCTGGGAGATTATACATGGAAAGGGCTGCTTTTACTGTAGTATGTTCATACTAGTGTTATGAATAATATCTTTCTTATTTTACCCCCAATATCCTTTTTCTTCTTATTGGTTCAATGTCATTTTAAATGTTAATTTACTACAATGTCTTTTTATTTCATCTTCAATTATTTTATTTCATTTTCTCAATTATTTTATTTCCTTTAACTTTTTCGATTCTATTTGTTTTCCTCTTCTGTCTTCTACAACCTTTGTTATGAATAATATCTTTCTTATTTTACCCCCAATATCCTTTTTCTTCTTATTGGTTCAATGTCATTTTAAATGTTAATTTACTACAGTGTCTTTTTATTTCATCTTCAATTATTTTATTTCCTTTCACTTTTTCGATTCTCTTTGTTTTCCTCTTCTGTCTTTTACAACCTTTTACGATTTTCTTTTTTTCCTTCTCTTCTAGAGCAAATTTTCTCGCTCTTTCATTTTTGGTTTCTTCGTTCTTTTCTTCTTCATTTGTTTCAAAAGGAAAATTTGTTTTCTCTACATGTGTTCGTTTCATGGGTTTGGTTCGAACCAACCCAATTTGAGTCAGCCCAATAACTCAAATCAATGTTCATTACACTAGCGTATCAACTCTAACTCGAATTGTGATTTGAGTTGAGAGGCGAGATTCGAATTCAATGGAGGCGTGAATTCCATTAATTCGAACATGTCTCTACAGTATTTTCTGCTCTGCACAACTCAGGCAAAAGCCTGTGGATTTCCTCGTGCCTTATAACTCGAATTGTGATTTGAGTTGAGAGGCGAGATTCGAATTCAATGGAGGTGTGAATTCCATTAATTCGAACATGTCTCTACAGTATTTTCTGCTCTGCACAACTCAGGCAAAAGCCTGTGGATTCCCTCGTGCCTTACTGTTGGCATGTTTTTTTCTCTCCTCTTCCCACCGAAAGCTCTTTGTCGTTTCCCATCATCCACAGCGATGGAAAATTGTAGATCTCTCTAGCGTGGTTCCATCCCCATGACTTCGAACCTGCCTCTACTATAAAATCCGCTCTGCACAACTCATCAGGCAAAAGCCTGTGGGATTCCCTCGCGCCTTACCGTTGATTTGTGTTTTTCTCTCCTCTTTCCACCGAAAGCTCTCCCTGTCGTTTCCCATCATCCATAGCGATGGAAAATTACAGATAAAGCTCTCGAGCCTTACGTGGTGAACTTTGACCCTCAGATTCGTTTATGCATGTGGGTAGAACCTTTTCCTCTGCCTTCTTTGCTTTCCCCAAAACGGAGGAACTACGTGAAAAAATCCGCGATCGGAAACCTCCGTTGGCAGTTGTTTTGAGTAAATGTCTCCGTAACTGGCAACCTCAAACCCTAAATCGCCGTCATCGGTGGAGAATTTCAAGGTACCACTGTCGGTGAGGAGAAATTAGGGTATTCTGAGCTCATCTAGATTGGGGTTCTTGCTGGAGGCACACACACGTTCATCCACTGGGTCCAATTCGGTAAGTTCTCTCAGCTTTTCCTTTCAACGTTTTCTCTGTTCGTGGATGTGAGAAGATCATGTACAGTTCTACTTTCTACATGCTTTCTGGATGTCACAAGAGCTCATCTATTATTTTCACAGTTCTGGTTTCCACATGCAATTTTTTTGCCGTTCTGAATGCTTTTGATTGCTTACCACATGTTTGAGAAAATACCGCAAAGGAACAATGGAGTGAATTGCTTGTTTACTTCATATTTCTTGTTTGCTCAGTGCATTGCTATAGGCTGCTAGTATTCGGATTGTGGACTGAAACTTTGCCAGTTTATGATTACTTTTGCAGTTGGACATTTTCATGTCTGATTTTATTTTCATAGTTTGTGTAATGTTTATGGGAGATGCATAAAACTGAAATGTTTAACTCTCTAGTAATGTTATGGGATATGCATAAGACTGAAACTCTGTTGTTAAACTATCTTGACCAAGAACATGAAAACCACTTTAGGAAGTCTTATTTTATTTACTTATTCCTTTATTTATTTCCTCGCTTACTTATTATCCATTTATTTATAACGTTATTTCAAATTATATCCTACTGGGCCTTTCGCTCACGTTTTATGTTTTAAATGTATTAAACCCCTCCCAGGAGATTCTAGGAGTGGTGCACAGTAGCTAGATATTTGCTACGGAGCAACTGAGTTGTGCTGCTGTTGGACTTAAGTGAGGATTGTGGTCATCCTCGGGTATAAATGTAAGGAACTAAGAATTCTATAAACTTATGTAATATTCGGATTAACTAGACTGTGGTTGATGTCTGTTGTAATGATTATTTACATGTTCATGTATGTACGATAATGTATGTCTTGTGGGGTGGAGCCCTGTGTGTCAGAAGCTCCGGATTCTGTAACTTATTTATATTTTAATGCAGTTAAGTGTGGGGCCTGGTTGGAAATCTGCTTTATTAATCCCAAATTGAGCTCCACGTCACCCACCCCGTTTGGGGGGCGTGACAATAGGTGGTATCAGAGCCCTAGGTTAAGAAACCCCAGAATTGTACATACATGTGTGACATCTATTATCCACTGAACAGTCTTGTTTTATTTCAGTTGAAGGAAATGGCGCCTCGCCGTAGACCTGTTAATCAACCGGCACAACAGAATCAGGGATTTCTGGATGCCATGTATGCTGCCTTTCAAGGCATGGCCACAAGAGCTCGAAATGAGCGGCCGGTTGAGGATAGGAAGCAAGGGTACTTCCGGGAATTTAGGCGTGCGCCTATCCCCTCGTTTAATAGTGAGGGAGGACCCCAGGAGGCAGAGTTCTGGTTAGACTCCATAGTCAAGCATTTGAGTACTATGGGAGTTCTAGATGAATACTGGGTGGAATTTGCGGTGTACAAGATGGAGGGCTTAGCGAATACTTGGTGGAAACAGGTCAAGAGAAGAATGGATGTTACAGGATTGACCTGGGAACAGTTTGAGACACTGTTCAATGAGCAGTACTTCCTTCAGAGTTATAGGGAGGAAAAAGCGGTAGAATTCATGTCTCTGCTGCAAGGTGACATGTCTGTAAGGGAATATGAGGCCAAGTTTAATGACTTATCTCGGTTTGCGCCATCACTAGTGGAGTTTGAACCCATGAGGTGTCTTAAGTTTGAGAAGGGCCTCAAGAATTTTGTGAGGAGGTCATTGGTGGCCTTAAGGTTTCGAAACTTCCGGGATTTGGTAGCTGCAGCTACACGGGTGGAACAGGATAACTTGGCCTATCACCAAAGTAAAGAGGTAACTAGTCGAGTCTCTGTCTCTGGTAGACCTTCCGTTTCGGGTGGACCACAGCGGAATGGCAGGAGAAACCGCAACCAGGGACAAACGGCTGGGGAAATGACAAGCGGTGGCAGTAGTTCGTCCGGAAGTGGGAGAAATGCTCCATACGGGCCCAGGTGTCACCATTGTGGGCAGGTGGGTCATATTAGGAGGAATTATCCTAATCGACCGCCGGCTCAACAAGCCTAAAGTGATGCTTCGTACAGTCAAGATGGACCACCACAGTACATGCCACCATATCAGCCACAACAGATGCAATACCCTACTGTGCCGACTTATCAACCGCCTCTGCTTACACAATTCCAGCCTCAAGCGCCGAGACCGATACAATCACCTCCGCCACAACAGTATAGGCCTCCGACCCAACGGCCTAATGTTGGTGACAGAGGGAAAGGGAAAGTACAGGGACAAGCTTATGCCCTGGCAGGAGGCAGTTCTGGGGGTCAGACCAGCAACACGGTGGTTGAGGGTATGATTCTAATCTCTCATTCTTTTGCTTAACACGTGGTGCCACACACTCGTTTATATCAAGTTCTTTTGTTCGAGCTTTGAAACTGAAACCTGAGAATTTAGAAGTCCCGATGACTCTGAGTTCTCCACTGAGATGTGTGGAGGTAACGAGTGTGTGTAGATCGTGTGAGATCACGATTGTGAGTGAGCAAATGAGAGCTGACTTGATTATCCTTCCGATGACCATGTTTGATGTGGTCCTCAGAATGGATTGGTTGTCAGAATACGGAGCAATTGTTGATTGTTACCGTAGGAGAGTGACTCTGATGACTAAGTCTGGAACAGCGATTTCTTATCAGGCAGATCTGAATCCAGTCTTAGGAGAACGACTGTTGAAGTACAGTGTTGGGGGACGGAGGAATCTAACTTGTTTCTCCTCCCTCCTTGCTTTGGAAGGTGAACTTGAAGTAATTAGAGATAGTGCGGGAATCCCTGTAGTGGATGAGTTTACAAACATATTTCCTGATGAGCTACCTGGTTTACCGCCAGATCGAGAAATTGAATTCTGTATTGATTTAATTCCGGGAACGACACCTATTTCCATTCCTCCATACCGGATGGCTCCGGCAGGAGTTGGCAGAAAAGGGATATATCCGGAATAGTACTTCCCCTTGGGGTGCACCGGTGCTATTTGTGAAGAAGCACGACGGATCTCTTCGGTTGTGCATTGACTACCGTCAATTGAACATGGTGACTGTGAAGAATAAGTACCCACTGCCGAGGATCGATGAATTATTTGATCAGTTGGGTGGATCACAGTTCTACTCTAAGATTGATTTGAGATCTGGGTACCATCAGCTGAAAATCAAGGAGGAAGACATCCCGAAAACTGCTTTCAGAACTCGGTACGGGCACTTCGAGTTTCTGGTAATGCCGTTTGGGTTGACGAATGCCCTGGCTGCATTCATGGATCTAATGAACCGTGTTTTCCGGCCGTACTTGGATCGGTTCGTGGTCATGTTCATTGATGACATACTGGTTTACTCGAAAACTTGGGAAGAACATGCGCAACATTTGAGAATTGTCCTTCAGACTCTTCGAGAACACCAGTTGTATGCTAAGAAGGAGAAGTGTGACTTCTGGCTGACAGAAGTGAAGTTTCTTGGACATGTAATCTCAGAACAAAGAATTTCTGTAGATCCTTCCAAGATTGAGACTGTGCTACAGTGGGAGAGGCCGAAGAATGTAGCGGAGATTCGCAGTTTCCTCAGACTTGCAGGGTACTATCGGCGTTTCGGGAAAGACTTCTCGAGTATTATTGTACCGCTGACTCGGTTGACCAAGAAAGAAGTCAGATTCCAGTGGGACGCTGAGTGTGAAAATGCTTTTCAGGAACTGAAGGTCAGACTGACAAGTGCACCAATCTTGACTATTCCTAATAGTGAAGAACCATATGAGGTGTACTCTGACGCCTC